AGCCCTGCAACACTCTAAAAGGCTAAATAAAAAAATAAAAGGCTAAACTATTATAATAGTTATAATAAAGCCCAATTTTATATGTCATATTTAACTTATTTTTAACTTTGTTTTAAGACGCAGACTAAAGTGATGGAGGAAATGACTGTTAGTAGAGATATATTTAAAATAATAATAATAATAATAATAACAAATGAGTAATTATTGCAAGGTAGGTTAGTCTTAATTTTCTTCTTCCTTCCTGCTTTCTTTCTTTTAATTATATATACAATAAATGGAGGAAAAAGATAGTGATATACAATGTATAGCACATGGAGTGAAACACTTTGTTACTGAAAACCCCACAAGGTAATGGTCAGGATTGTTCATGTTTTACCCAAACCATACCAGTTTGTGGCAGTTATTTGCAATTAAAAACATCTGATTTTGCAGACTTTGGCACACCCAGCAAACCCTAAACATATCTGTTCAACAGCTGTAAATATTTATGCACATGAAATTCGGCCCCTACATTTTTTGGAACATTTATCAGACAACAAAAAATCCTCCTACATAAAAGCATTTTGCTTTATGGCTTTATGGCAAACATCTCTCTGTATCTCTTTACATCTTTACGTCTCTCTTCTGGGTATCGTTTCCCAGCCTCAGAAGGAGAGAAGGCCTCCCTCAGGACTTTGATTCTGGGCTTTTCTGACCCAAACATTCCTCATTTCCTCCCTCTTCAACAACCTCTCCCATCGTCGTCCTTTTTTTTCTCACTTCCCCCACCTCACCTTCTTCCTTCTGTTTCTCTCACTCTGTCATCATATCCATCCACATTTCATTCCTCCCCAACATCCTCTGTTCACCTTTCACATCATCTTTACCCCAGCCTTGTCCTCCCTTCATCCACCTCCCCCAACCTCTGTCTCTCTAAGCCTTTTACCTCACCCCCTCCCTTATATTCGATCCCTTTCCACTTAGCCCTTACCCTTCCATTCCCATTCTCTCCCTCATTTCATGCACCCCTCTCCTCTGTCCTCTCTTGCCCTCCCTCTGAGGATATAAAACTTACTGTCTGTGACTGAGGCCTCAGAAGAATGCTGGTTTCCCACTGAGAGGACCGAGCAGGTTGCTTCCTAAGCAGAAGCTTGACTTACAACAGAGACATTTTTATAAAAGTTTATAATACATGTTTCAAATGAAATATGAAACTTTGCTGGGGAAAGTGGGAAATGATGAGGCATTGCAGTAAATAAAAGTGAGGTACTTAAACAGATTATATAGTATTATAGTAGATCAGCTTATATAACCCACTTTCCGTGTTAGGCAGAATGTATGAGTCAAGTCTGTGGGGGAAAAGTGTGATTTATGTTTGCAAAATGGAAGCAGCAAGAAACATTTTAGAAATAATGAACTAGTTAGCTTGTGACACCTTAAAATAAAGAAACCGTAAATATGACTTTATGTAACATAAACATTTTCATTCTTTGATATAATTGTAACATTTTAGGAAATAGGCTTATTTGCATTCTTGTCAGGAGGTCGATGCTGCTCTCATATCGCTGTGCTCAATTTAAAGCTGGATTACGGAGATGGTTATCTTAGCTTAGCATAAACACTATAAGCAGAGGTAAGCGACTAGCCTGGCTCTGTCCTAAGTTTAAACAAATCTACCATCCAAAATCTCAAAATTTTACCAGTTAACACTTTGTATCTAGGTTGGTAGGTAATCCAGAACCAGTGGTTAGATGCTGGACTATTTCTATGCAAGACACACTGACTTCCTCGAGTTGTGACTTCCTTAGCACTGGTCTAATCAATAACTAATGTATGCAAACAGCAAACTGACATTAATAATTTGACAGAGGACATGTATGTTTAGATGTGTGTTCCTATCAAACTTAAATTAGAGAAATTGAGAAGTCAAGAAAGGCATTTTATTAGCTAACATGACGAAAATAAAGAATGTGAGAGAAAAGTGTAACTGAATCTGTGAATCTGTGAGTGTGTATACTGAATCCTCCCTGTTGTATCTGTTCCTTTTGCAGATGGAGTTTGACGAGAAAGAGCTCCGCAAAGAGATCAGCTACGCCATCAAGAACATTCACGGAATCAGGCACGTCCGCCCTCCAGCTCACCCATCCGTCCTTGTTCCCCATTTCTCTTTACTTCATCTCCCTCTCTCTCTCTCTGCATCTCAGTCACCTCTGCTTGCCAGACTGCATTTAACTGACTTTGCTCATCTAATCGCCAAGACCTCTATTGAGCGCTCTGTTGAATACTAATGGCATCAGTACACTGAGACATAGAAGGCTGGGATCAGATAGGGTAGAACTGGTTGTACGATACTTGTTTTTGTGACCTCTCCATATGTTTTGTTAGTTTTTCCTTCATGCTGGCGTGTGACCTGCACCTTTCATCTGGGATACGTGGTAGCTCAGTCCTTGTCCTTGTCCTTGTCAAATGGATGATTTGTAATTATGCTGTATCATCTAATAAGGCAGAAAACACCAGAAAAATCACCTAAATTTATATTTGGTGCCAAAATATATTTAATATCAGATAATAAGCAGATATAGAAGCAGAAGATATGGGATTTATGTGGCGCTTGTGGGTAAAAAGTAAGCGTGGAATGTACAAAGAAATTATTTTTAACTTATTTTCCTGATGGAGAGAATATTGTAGGTTTCTTTGCTGCTGATCATACTTTATTTGGCTTATTTCAGTATCAGAGCTGATTGCTAAAATACCATCTAGATGATTGGCAGGATGTTACTACTGTTGGTAGTAGCTAAAGAGTAATGTTGATAATTGGGTGTTACCAGTGGTAGCAGTGGGTCATATCCAGAGTTTTTTTTAACCCTTAATTCTGTTGCTTGAGGGAAAATGACTGAATATTTGCTGTGGAAATTTCCAACTTAAGTGCAGATGATTTAAAACTACTTGATATTACTTAATATTTCCTAGAACGTGCTGCTTTGTAAGTGTTTTTTTTTTTTTGCTTTATGCTCTTTCCTTCTCTCTGTCTAATTTGTGTCTGTTAATGTTTGGGGAGAAGCTCAGAAATGGAGGGTAATTCTTTATAATTAACACTCTTCTCTTTACCCAACCCTCCTCCCTCCTTCTGTCTTTTTCTCCTCCATCCTTCTCTTTTTTTGGCCCTGTGGCTGGTTCTCTCTCTGTCGGGCAGAACTGGCCTCTTCACCCCGGACATGGCCTTTGAGACCATTGTGAAAAGGCAGATTGGGAAGATTAAAGAGCCTTGCACCAAATGTGTGGACATGGTCATTTCTGAGCTAGTCAATACGGTTAGGCAGTGTACCAAGAAGGTAAAAAAAATAAAAGTAAACACTGGTTAGCACTTTTTCTGATTTTCAACCCTCATCAAGTCCCTCTGCTGTTCACTCCCTTTTACTGTAACCGCCTGGCTCTCTCCAGCCCTCGTTGTTTCTCTGGACAACGAGGGGACACCTGGAGTGGCAGGGTGGGCTGCGGTATACCTGCCTGCCTACTGTACCGCTTCGGACGGGTTTGGCTGGACAGGCTGGCCGTAGTAGAAAGCTGTGCTGAAGAAAACCAGTGTGGAGGCTGAGCAGTCATCCAAATATGGTTGCCTGTAAAAGATTAAATGTTAGAGCAGTCTCAGCTCAGAACTTTGAGTTTAGTCCCTTATTTATTCTCTCTTGGAATCATTTTAAATAATTTTGCGCTACATCCAAATTCCACATAATATACTAACGGTGTGTACAATACACTAACTACAGTGCAGTCAGTAAAAATGAAGTCAGTGTGCTTTACTGTACTAACAGGAAAAGATGCACTACAATCACACTACTACAGTATTTTGAATGCTATTACCATTTAAATTTAAGAACTAGCTAAGCATTTTTCCTACAGAGTGCCCAAAGCCCTGAATGATACTCTTTATCTAGTGCACACAAGTTATTATCTAGTTTGCACAAGATATTATCTTGTTCACACAAGTTATTATCTTGTTTACACAAGTTTTTATCATGTTCTCACAAGTTTTTATCTTGTTTACACATATATGCTGTAATTGTGTGCACAACTGAAAGTTAGTATTTAATGTGGAACTGGGACACAGTTTAGGTTTTCTTTGAACCTCATGTCCCTATTTAGGCAGTCTCTGAGGCAAGCTTTGTTCTAAATTGTCACCACTTTTGATGTATTTGGAAATTTGTCCATTTACATTTAGTAGTTTTAAAGTTTTAGTTCTCTTTCAGGAACTGTGAGTAAGATCACCTTGTTTACATATAAGGCATACACATGTTGAGAGAATCATTTGTCAGTTATTCAGAATACCTGGCAGCCATATTGGATGACCTCAGCGTCCAGACTTCCTTGTGTGTGAGACTAAAGCTGTGCACCTGCAGCAGACAGGAGTCATGCCGATTATGTTTAAACTGCTCTTCAACAGGCCTCAGGGTCCACACTCTCAGCTACAGCGGCGTGTGAGTGTGGCCAAAAGAAAGAGCAGTAGTCTGTATCCAAACTGATCCACTGTGACCAAACAATTTGAACAGCGGTTGGACTGCAACAACCTGGAGGCCTTAGGAATAATAAATGTTATGATTACGCTCCCTCTGGAAGTCAGAGGAGAAGGAGGGATGGGTGGAGAAAGGGTCAACACCAGAAGGGTTCAAGGCATGTTGGCTAAATGACGGGGTGCACAGCTGTGGTCTTGCGGTGCGTTGCTTGGAGTTTTTTTGGCTGGTGGAGTTGTGCAGACTGGGATCTCTCTCTATTTCTTTCTCTTTCTCTTGTCTTTTCTCACTCTTTGCTCTTTATTGATAGAGGGAGACTCCAGCACTGTCCTGTTTTAGTATGGCTTCAGGGGAAACCAAATGTCTCACTTGCATTTTCTTCCTTCTGTGCTGTTTATCCCCACCTACCTCCTCACATCTTCTTGTCTTTTTTTTCTTAAATCTGTTGTTTCTTCTCTTCCATCTCCAATTTTTACCTTCCTCATCTCTGTATTGTCCCTTTCCCTCACCATCCTTCAATCCTTTTGTTTTTATTTGTCTCACACCTACACTTTCTCACTCTTCTCTGTCTGCCTGTTCCTTTATGTCTTCATTTGGTGCTTTCACTTCTCCTCTTTCTCCACCTATTTTCTCTTCTTTCTTTCTTTTTTTTTTACTCCTCTCTCCCGTGCCGCCTGCCTATCCCTACAGGACGGGGCTGTTCACCCCTGACCTGGCCTTTGAGGCCATAGTGAAAAAGCAGATCCAAAAGCTGAAGGAGCCCACACTGAAGTGTATAGATATGGTTGTGAGCGAACTCACCTCCACCATACAAAAGTGTAGTCAAAAGGTAAAATACTAAAGAGAACCAAGCCACTTTCACTGTCTCTGTTAATCGCACAGGTAGGGGTAGACCGATGGCTGGAATTTTCTTTCTAAAGTATTGATATCAAGAGATGCATGCGAGAAAATAATAACAGAAAACGGCCTGAACTGCTTCCTTATAGTATTCTTAGATTGTATTTTAAAAAGTGTCATTTATACTAAAGAGTGACTTTGAGATTTAGATAGATGTAATCAGAGTTCAATATAGGTTTTTTATTTATTAATAAATTAATAATTAAGCACTGACCGGAGAGCACTTTAAATTTCGTTGTACCTGTGACAATGACAATAAAGATCTATTCTATTCTATTCTATTATCTAAAAAATTGTTCTTACAATCGGAAAAATTATCAAGACTTCTCTTCTACATTAATGTGAATCTGCATTGTTTTGTTGATTTACACTTGAATTAGGAGCTATGTTGTAACATTTAAATGTAAATCAGAGCAAAGCATCAGTAAGCTTCCTAATCCAGATAATTGATTGTTTGCATATAGAGCCAGATCTAATATAATGTTATGATCAGCAACACTTTAAAATATTGTGCAAATGCTACATTTTAAGATTATGTCTTGATTTCAACTAAAAAGTATAAACTTTACATAACTTTACTTAATTTACTAAATTGAACACATAATGTAATTTATTTTGTTTGTTTTGCAGCATGCTGATATGGTCACAATAATTGTTAGCAGGTATAATTACCATATTCGGCATCTTAGTTTAGTTCGTTAATTTTGCAGGTATTTGGTCATAAACCAAAGTATTAGACAAATTACAGTCTTGACAAATGTTCACCTCATGGTGACAAAAAAAAAATGTCCACTGGGTCAAATGTCTGTACAGTTTGGATGTAGTGGGCCGATTAACCGATCACTATCCCTAGAGCTGCTAGTTTGATTAGAAAACAACACTGTGCCAATATTCAATGTATTGAAGTTAACAATAAATACCCAACCTTAACATTAATTGAAAAATATCATGATTAGAAACTATTATAGGTTATGTGCAAATACATAAAAGTACTCAAAAATATGTTACTTCAGCCACCAGATATCGGTCTATCCTTACTCCAGAGCTTACTAGTAAAACCATAACCTGCATTTTAATTAAACTTTCTTTGTCATTTGTCTTATGTCAATTATTGGCCTTATATTGACAATTTAACAAATTGTTGAGTCTCAACCTGCATGTTAAATTATTTTCTTTCATATTTGACCTCATGATGTCTAAAAATCCTTTGATTTAAGTTGGTTAACGTCTTTTTTTCTGTCTTTGTCAGTATGGTGACTGATTGTGTAGTTCCACTCACTGACTAATTGACGTACTTTGAGCATCTCTTTATTTCTCTTTTTATTTCTCTTTCGTCCTCTCCATCCTGTCGTCCTCTAACCCTTTAAACCGGCTGCTTCCTCGCAAAAGCAAATGACCAAAATGAGAGCGTGACCTCCTTTGGATTTCTCTTCTCTGTCACACTTGATTTCACTTTCAGAGACATACTGTATTTAAAGATACTGTATTATAATATACAGTGTTTGGGAAAATCCACAAAGGGGTCAGTTTGAAGTCCTCCTCCATCACCCTCTCTCCCGTCCCTCCCACCCTACTCCTTTGCATTGCATGTGAGTCTGAATCAATTTGAGTGCCTCTGCTTGCTGCCTTGTTAGTAAAAAAACAAAATTTTCCTTCCACTGTCAGTTTTGTGTTTCTGTGTCTGATTTTAAGACACTGAACACTTCATCAGATTTTGACAGCCTTCAAGTTACAATGCACCTTTCCAGTAGAACAAATAATGTTGCTTTCAGTTGCTTTGACATTCAATACATCCACAGTTTATTGCGTTTGTTTGTAAATGTTTTATTGTCATTCATAAAGTAACCCTCATTTAATCAGTTAACAGTATTAATAATGGGACACTGATGACATTAGTAATTATAGTTGCCATCTATGCCTTACAGAGTTATTTAAAAAACATATTTCCTAAAATTTAAAGGAGTGATTCAACAATACTGTCAGCAGGTTAAACTGACCAGATGCTGTTACAAAAAACTGATTTAAATTTGTTTTTACACAGTGTGCTTGAGCTTTTCTGATGTGATACAAATCATAACATAATGTCAAAACAAAGACATATTTGAATACTTAGAATATATTATTACAAGTTACAAATACCGAAAACCCCACAAATTTAAACTTTACACTAACTGTGAATTGTCACGATTGAACCTTTGCTAATACTGTTTCTATGCCTATCAAGCTTACTATTTTTGCGTAGCACTATGTGGTTTACAATGATGATGGCAGCAGATTTGCTACTCAAAATCTATGGTAATTTTTTTTACTTTTTTCCTTCCATTTCTAGCTTAAAACCGTCGTTTTTGTCAGCTGCAATGACAACAATTCTAGCTAACTAATTAAGATAACTCCATGAGAATGTTCATGTCTAACTCGTTTTAAATATGAAATTGTTCTTGCATAGTAAAGCCAGTTAACACTACTGTATTATAAATAAACCAAATAAACAGCAGGAGAGAGCCACTATTGTTAATGTTGTCTAATGTGGCATAACTTTTTGTAGTGGATGTTTAATCTTGAACGGGGATTTTTCTAACGTAACCTGTAATCCAATAAAATAATGCCATTACCCAATGAATGGCTCCTTGGCTTTGGAAGTAATGGTAGGTTATTATAGTGAAGGTTGTAAGCTTCTTATAGCTGGATATGCTAATAACAAACACACACTTTTACCCTTGTGTTTTTGGTTTTGATTCTTTTTTAATGCTCAGTTTTCCAGAAAAGAGCTATGAAACACTTTGACAATACTACTTGTAATGCTAGACTGACACTCATCTAAACAGTGTGTCCCATTATTCTAAAGCATCTATTCTTTATGGATGTTCTCTGCTGTGTAAGTGGACCATACCCAGGAAGCAGTAAATCAACTTGGGAACCAGAAAGAGGTCTATTGATGTCCGCTCACTCACCAAACCATCTGAAAGATGCATTGTAACTTGCAAGAACACAGCGTATATTTTTCTTTCTTGCGCTGTGATTTTGGTTTTGATTTTTCTTCTTTCCTCACACTTCTCCAAAATGTGTTTGTGTCACATTGGAGGCCCACCAATGTCTGCGTTCGTGGGTTTGCAATGAGCTCATGGAAAAAGACCCACAGTGTGCTGGGGAAAAGACGCTTTGCTGCCAGGAACATTGTTTATTCTGTGTTTGTGTGGTAATATCACAGACTTTTCACTATTCTTCTGCATACGTTCCATATTGGCAACAAATGGACATTTTGCACATAAAATCCACTCAAATCCGCCCACCGGTCAGGGTGTGCTGAGACTAGAGCAGAGTCTGGGATAAAATCCTCAAAACATAACCTGTTTAATTATGTTTCTGTAATGTATTTTGTTGTAGCTATTGGTGGAACTGTGTGTTGTGGTTCAGTGAGTAATGTAGTGGTTTACTAAAGCTTGTATGTAGATTTGGGAGTGTGTGTGAGAACGTATGAATTGGCATGTGTGTGTTTACTTTTTTTTTGCTACCTACCGACTGTGTTTTGTGCTCACAGCTGGCTCAGTATCCCCTGTTAAGAGAGGAGATGGAGAGAATCGTCACCCAGCACATCAGGGACAGAGAAAACCGCACTAAGGGACAGGTAAAACCTACACATTGTTTTATTACTTTTTACATAGATGTGCTCTCCACTGTAATTTGTACTATTTTTATGAATGTTATGTTTAATCATCTCAGTATCTTTTGATTGTTCAGAAAGTAAAGCACCTGAGTACTAGCACAGTTTTTCTACAAATTAATGCTACCAGCTTAATTTGAAATATTAATGAAATATGTATCATGAAAATGTTACACATACGTGGCACTTTGTCTTAGTGGAAATGAATTTTAGTGGTTGTTGTTTTCTGCTACATTAGAACTAAAGAATCTGTAAGTCTGCAAGAGATATGTACGTTGAATGTGGCCTATGTGCACACATGAGGCCTGTAACTTGAACAGTTTTGGGGCGAAACAGTGCCGACACGGCCTCACTTTGCGCACGACTATTACATTTTCAGACAAACAGATAAATTCGAATGCTTTATAGTTCAGAATCACTCTGAGTAACGACCCCACTTAATCGCTGTAGAGGGACCGTTTGTATGCAGGCCCCTTCTGTGGTATTGCAAAAGTTACACCGCCACCTACTGGCCTGGCATGCTATAACGTTTTCAAAATTTTTTGCGGCTCGTTTTCACTGTGTTGGTTTGTAGGTTCTTTTTTTTAAATGCAAAGGAAAAACGTTTCAATTTTTAGCAAAACTGTTGTTGTGTAAACAGGACCTATAACAAACAAAATACATTTTGGGATGGATCTTTAAATTATTATCAGTAAATATATAGTTGATAACAGCTTGCTCACTCTCTGTGCAGGTGTTGCTGTTGATAGACATTGAGTTGTCCTACATGAACACCAACCATGAGGACTTCATTGGATTTGCCAAGTGAGATTCTGTTTATTTTCCTCCATTGTGAATATAGTATATAAATCTGCTCTCTCTGCAGTGCTTCAGTTAATGTGCAGTTTAAGATAAAAAAAACAGTATGTTTTGATGTCTTTTGTTGTGCAGCGCTCAGCAGAGGATCAACCAAATCAACAAGAAGAAGGCAGCTGGCAACCAGGTACTTTGACCACACTAAACATACCGTCACTTGGATTTGACAGGATATATTACATTTTACAGGTTATAGTACAGAGACATCTCTCTTTAAGCTACAGGAACACGATTCCAGACTGAACTCATCCAGTGCGTTTCATCTGCTGGCCAGCAACGTGACATCTGAACTTCATACTGTCTTTCCCCAAGGCTTTATTCTGTTAGCACTCAGCTTTCTGTTTTGCCCATGCTAAATGTAGCACAGCCATACAATATCTTGTTACCCTGGGCAATAGTCCATATTCTTCACAATGCAGCCCTGTACAGCTCTTGTACATGTTGCACATTAATGGACAACAGTTGTCAAACATTAAAACAACTTGTCCTTTTGGTGGGAGTCACGGTGATGTCAACACAATCTGAGGTCTGTTGCAAAATATCCAACCTCAGTTTTATTGAGATGTACAGTAGGTTAGTCCCCACAGCTTATGGGTGTAAGAACCAATCATTGTAATATTAATATCAAATATAAAAGCACTTTAATACCTCTGCCAAGTCATTTTAAGAAGATAACGATTTTAAATTTTAAATCTCCTTCTGGATCTCAAACTGCATCAAAATGCATACATATTAATTATAAAACAATTATGCAATACATGTACGTTTTCATTCATGTGCAGTAGTTATGGGAAAAAAGCAAAAAATGGCCGCAATGTTAATAAATCCACAATGCTGACTTTGATGTGGATCCGGTTTTAAAACAGTATCTCACAGCGTCCTTTTTCATTACTTTACACAAAACCTCCCTTAAACTTGACACATTTTTTGGGTGTGCTAAATAACAGAGAGACAAAGAAGACCTACAGTAATTATCCGCTGTATACGTAACAATATCAGCAACACAATGAAGATAGAATAAACAGATTTTGCATGATTTACATTCTGCTTTTCCCCCCGAAAGCATGCAGATCCTCTTCTATTTTCCCACATTTTAAACTTACTCTTTAATATTCTCTTAAATTCTTGGTTTTTGGTGTCTGTCGTTTTGTTTTCCTCTTCTTTCCTCTTAGTGATTTCTCTTTCTGCTGTGTCTCTTTTCTCTTTCTGCTGTGTTGTCTTCCTCTCTGTGGCTTTTCTGCTTCAGGATGAGATCATGGTGAGTAGTGTGTGTGTGTGTGTGTGTGTGTGAGACTGTGGTTGTTCTGTGCATGTCTGCAGGTAGGCTTTCGTGCGTCTGTGCTCATGTTTTTACGCTCTGCATATGTCAGGATACGTGTATCTATATATGTTCAAACTTGTACATGTGCTTGATTGTCATTCATAGTGGATTCCTGAGTGTGTGTGCGAATGTGTGTGTGTGTACGAAATAAGCTTCATACTAACTAGCAGTAAATGGGCAGGTGGCTGTCGTGGGGAATGCTTGGCTGCTTCCCTTTCCTCTCTTTTTCAGTGGTGTCCTCCCTGTAGGCACACACACTTACACTCATACACACAGCTAAAGTACAGGAGGGCCGAGAGATTATATTAGACGTTATGTAATGCTCTTGTCACAGGCTTCTCTCAGGCTTGTTGAAAGACTCAGTTTGGAGATGCTCGTTATGACTCCAACACTGAGGCCGGTTTGCTTTGGCACTGAAGAGTCGCCCCCCTCCAGCAGTAGTTTTAATTACATAAAGAGAAACTCACTCGTGTTCTTGCATCTCAAAGAAAAGGAGGAAAAGGTCACTAGAGTTATTCCCTGTATCTCCCTCTTTTATTCCCTCCCTCTCCCCAATTAATCCAAAGTAGCAGAAGGCCAGGGGCAATGAAGACCTGCAGTATGCCAGACATATGTCACCTCCATAGTTATCAGTTGTCATAATAACCACCCAGGTCGGGGTCAAAGGTTAGGGGCACAATGTAAATAAAGTGGTGAGCTTCCCTTCCTGTTTACAGATGGATGTAGTTGACCCAGCAGCTTCTGTTCTCCTGATTTAACCCCCTCCTGACCTCCATACTGAAAAAACTTAGCTTAACCTGACCCATCAGTGGGTCCATGATGATAGGCAGCCAAGTTTTGTTCAAGCTACCACAGAACTTTATCTTGAATTGTAGTCCAGATCTGAAACTCACTAAAGATACCAAATGTGTAAGCTGAACGACAGGAGAATATGTAGTTTTATCTCAACCGAATTGAGCGTCTAAGGACAGAGATTGTTGCTTGTTGTCCAGAGTGTAAAGCCGACAAATGAGTGATTTTGGGCTATGGATAAAAAGTGAAATGTTTTTTATTCAAGGTTTGGCGTCAGTGTGTAGGCGTTTTTATATAAATATAAATAAAATGGACTGGCAATGATGCAGCCTGCATATTTTATTTGATTATTTTAGTCAGGATATGTCTATAAGTCAAATCTTAAATGAAACATCAGATATAGATTGTCATACAGAGTTTTTATAATTGACAGGCTACTTGAGAAGAAGGTAAACATCAGAGTATGGAGATAAGTGATAAGGGATACGTGAGATATAGATAAGAAGTACATCCATCCTCATAATGGCAGCTGGAAATAAAAGAGTGATCTGCATTTTGATCACTTCAGCTACTTGAAGATTGATGACCCCCCCACTTCCATTCAAAAAAACACATACAGTATAAAACAGCAAGGCTTCTGCATTTCACTGCATGGTCTCAAAAAAGGTTTGACATGGGCCACTCTTGTTGTAGCTTCCTTACTCCCCTTGCCCCCACCCTGCTTGCTGTCCCCTTGCTGCCATCCCAGCAGCCAGCCGTAATGTGCTGGTACTTGACCAACCTTGTGTATTTGGCCTTTACTTAATGCCCTGCGTTGGCGTAGCTTTGTAACATTCTCTCCACATTCTCATTCAGCCGGAGAGAGGAGTTAACGATCGGTTTAAGGTAAATAAAACAATGTACTGTATGTGTGTATAGTTTCTGTATGGTGGAGAGAATGAAATATAAAGAGAAGAAGAGGAAATAAAGAGTGTGAGGAATGTGTTTAGTCATGTAGGTGAGCGTCACCCTGCTGTTGTTTGTGGCAGTGGATTCTTATCTCCAATAGAAGCAGGGAAATTACATCGCATACGTGTTAGTGTAACTGACTAATGTAGTGTTAATTTGGGGAAATGGTGATATTTTTTGGAAAATCTGCTATATGTGATTTACAATCACTTTCCTTTCTGTCTCTCAGGTGATCAGGAAGGGCTGGTTGACCATCAACAACATCAGCATCATGAAGGGAGGAGCCAAGGAGTACTGGTTTGTCCTCACCGCCGAGTCCCTGTCCTGGTATAAAGATGATGAGGTGAGACACTGCACACACACACACACATGCAGACACACACACACACGCACACACACACACACACACACACTCACACTTTTTTTTTGACTCCCGTTGAAGCTGCAGGCCAGACAGTCAAATCTTCAATGCCTCAGTCAAATGGACTACTGGTACTTGTTGGTCTGCTTTGTAATGATGTACAAAGAACAAAGCAGCGTAAAAAAATGGGTAAATTAATGTGATAGCTTGTTGCAGGATGGGAGTGCTTGGCTTGAAGATGGCCTTCATCATATAGGCAAAAAAGGGAACTCAGCAGAATCCACTGCTGCAAATTACAGGCAAAGTTACTTAATTTACTTAAAAATAAAAACTACCTAATAACTTTTATAATATTATAAATATCTTTAAAGACATTTTTGCTTTTGAGTATTTTTGCATTAGAAAGGATTATTGGGATGCAATGCACAGCCGACTAATATAGAATTTCTGAGGCTGACACCAATATATATAATTTAGTGTTTATAAAATCTGGTGTTACCATATTACGTTTTTTTTATATTTTTTATATGAATAAATAATTTAAAAACATTTTAGGTAAGGACACCTTTAATTTGTTTGGTTTGTGACCAAGGTATACAGTATTTAGTAAGCAGCACATTTTACAGTTAAAAAATTATTAGAATGCAAAGGGAACGCAAATGTAGTGACCCTTGTGTCTGTACATTTGTGTTGTGATATATGCGGGCCGACGTATTTTTCTGTGTTAAGATAATTTCAATAAAATCTTGTGATTATACTAACAAAAAATGTATGAGACGACGAGCTACTGCACAACCTGAGACATCATCCCCTATGCTTGAAACACCAAACAGCTTTACATCTGATTTAGCAACAGCATTTTTATAATATTTTCCAACAAATTACAGTACCAGGAGGATTATTGCAGTTGGATCTGAGTGTTTATTCTCCATAAGCTTCCACCAGAGAGAGTTTATTTTCCGATTTCTGGTCCAAAATTCATTTCAGCTCATCCCACTGGCAAAAATGACTGTTGGACCTTTGCATGCTGAAATGATTTGACCCGGCATGCTTTGTTACTTGACCAACTGGTCAAAGCGGTGTCCCATGATGGTTTGCAGAACTATTAGGAGCTAGCCACAGTCTCGCTGTCTCCAGGCCTTAGCCGCAGCCGCTCTGCTCGCTGACATAAGTGTGTGTGTGAGTGTGTGTAGCATTGAGAAGGCCCTTTACAAAGAGTCAGGACCCCCCAGTATGTCAGACACCGAAGCTGGCACACACATGTGCATACCAGAGCCCCCTGCCCTGCCCTGTTCCCAATTACACACACACACACACAAACACACACACATGCACGCAGCACGGACACACCACGCAGCACACACACACACACACACACACACACACACACACAGCTGCTTCTAAGTAAAGCGTCCTTCATTTCAAAGAAGGGGGCCACAGGAGCAGAGAGCGACTGGATTGTAGGAGAGAAGGAGAGCGCAGGGAGCTGTCTCTTGTTAGCTGGTAAAAGCAGCAGTCTAGTAACCGAGCGACCATGTGAAGGCGAGAGAAGTGAGGAGAGGTGGGGGGGCACAGAGGAGGACAGGGTAGAGGAGAAAGAGGGGGGAAAGGGCTGGGGTTTTGTTGCTTTTATATCCTCCTTCCGTACTTTTCCTCCCCTCATTTCCCATCGCTCCCTCATCGATCCTCGAAGTGCTTATACCCCAAACAGGGAAACTCCTATCTTCACTCTCCCCTCCCCTTTACCCGGTATATCTCATATCTTTTTCTGGGCTCATTCTACTTCCTTGCTCCACTCTCCTTCTCCTCTGTCCACCTCCTCCTGCGTTTCCCTCTCCCATTTCTTGTCACTCGATACAAACAATATTTATTTGGACCATTGGACTAACTCGTTGAGGGTCCGCGCGGCGCACCACAAACCACACACATGGTGGGCTGCGTGTTAAAGCTCAGCCTCTCAAAGGCCTGGAAGGGCACGGCAGACTGCAAATTTAAAAAAAAAAAAAGAAACTGGGGGTTTAAGAGCAAAATACGGAAGACCCAAATAGCCGGAAGACCTTTCCATGTCGTTGTTATCTATCAGCGTGAGAATTTCTTTCACATTAGCTCCAGTCACAACAGCTACACACAGATTACACAACACTCAAGACACAGCACACGTAGAGATTATACGAGTAGCTCATGACAGCGGCTCACCCTTTAGTACTTGAATTGTGCAACCGGGGTGAGAATACTTGCCAAAATACACACAGGTTGAAAGAGTGTGAACAGTTTCATTATGTTTGGACTTGAAGGAAAAAAAAAAGTTGATTCACTGCCTGGCAAAGGCAAACCTGAATTGTGAATTTTCTTTTGTTGCCTTTTAAACTTACATCCAGACAGGCGATCCACATGTTTCTGTTACACCAACTCGCAAAAACAGTGCAGCAGCCAGGAAATTTTAATTGACCTGTCCTTCTTCAGAGTCATGGGGAAAAACCCTTGCCTCAGCCTCGGGTAAACACACACGGAGCACGTCACACTCGCCAGACATCACACAGCCACCACCACCCCCATGGACGAACTACAGATAATAACTATTCAAACCCAACTAGTGGTGCCAGGATGTTTCTGGTTCATCAGATCGATGACATGTCGTTGTGTATGTGCCTGTCCTACATAGAAGTACTGGCCATGTAATTACACAGGACATACAATTCTCTATGATAGGTTCAGGCTGCAAGTTCTGGTAGCTAAACTGCTC